CAGGCGGCGCTCGAGTATGTGCGGCCAGAGAGTGTCAGGGAGGGCTGCCTTCGGTTGCCCCGATTCAGAAGGGCGCTCAAAGCTGGCGCAAGCTATCCCAGCTCAGGTCAGACTGCCAAATGATATAATTCCTAAAGGGGGCAATCTCTGGAGTTCTACTGTACCTGGGCAGGCGAGATTATGCGCTGTACACGAGCTGACGTTCTCACCTACGTGAGGGCCGGGCGAGGCGTTTGCGGATGAAAATCAGTGGATTTTGTCGAGAAAGCACAGACCGGGCAAGCGAGAGAACCGGTTCTCCGTCATTGTTTCTGGCACCAATAGGCGTGAGAAGCCAGCAATGTGGGGGGGATCTACGACGAGGTGCTGTCATCGACGATGTGCGGGTTCCCCGTGGCTGGCAGACATCATGAAGGCTTGCTGCATGTGACGCAACGGCTCCAGATGGGCGAGGAAGACAGACATGTGAACTTCGTGCCCGCCAGTACCTCGCATGTGGAGGCGGAAAGCAGTGGATGCTCTGGGACATCGCCGACTGTGGTGCAAGATCCCCTACCAGAACATGGCGGGAGCCAGTCGGACCATCTGTTGAAGCTCGCATCGTGGCGGCTATCCAGAGGAGAGGTCGCTGGGCGGTGGACTCGAGCGCCCGGATCTACGACAAGCCGGCAGACTGCAGCGAGATGGTGAGCAAGCGCAGCAAGAGTGGTTGGGACCTGGAGAAAAGGTCCGGTTGAACTTCCGGGATTTGTCCTCAGTGGTACCTGCCCTCTGCCCCGAGAGCTTACGTCGTGCGCTGAGCGGCTGAGAGAAGGCAAGTTTTTTGAGCCTTTTCGGTGGGTAGGTGAGTTCGCGCGAAGGCCTATGCAGAGAGAGCGGCAGCGCGGCAGTGGTTGATCTTAGCCAGGCAAAGCCAATGAAACCTTTACGAAGGTTCAGTGCTTGAACAGGGTTCGACAGGTCGGTACCGCTTCAATTCATCTGGGATATACCTGCGTGTAAACACATGGACTCGTGCAACGCGGACGGGCTCCACCTTGGTCCCGCTTGCCAGGGCCGTTGCGAGGAGATCATAGTGACTCCATATTGGGCCTACCTCACTCAAGCCAGGTGACCACTGAAAAGTGCAAGCTGCCAATCGCATGATGTATGGAAGCGTGCAAGCTTATCAGACTCTGTCTCCGTTTGGGCGTCTCGGGTTACCTGGAGAACCCTTTGACGTCTAGATTGTGGCTTGCACCGCCCATGAAGGATCTGCTGAACCGAGACGGCGTGCACTTCATCAAGACCGACATGTGCATGCAGCACCCATGGAAAAAGCCCGTAGGGCTTCTCGTTTGGGGATGTGAGCCTTTCTCCTGCCACGATGCACATGCAGGAGCAAATGCAGTCGAACTGGAAAGAACCACGTGCAGCTGACGGGGATCAAAGGTTCGAGATTTGCCACTGAGCGAGCACAAATGTTCCCGATCAGCTTTTGCGTCAAAACTTTGTGGATGTTTTCGACTTTTAAGCTCCCACCCCTTTTCCCCCCATGGCCATTCTGTACATGGGTTTGGGGGATGTTTGACCAAAGGTCACCTGATACAGACCTAGGGGGCGTTGCTGTGTATCGCGAGGGAGGCGCTTTGCTCGGCTTTCAGCGCTCCTACAAACAGACTGACATGCAGCGAGTGTATGCACAAAGGTTGCAAGGGATGGCCACTGGTAAGGGCTCGTATGCAATGTGTGCACCTTGTGCGTGAATTGCAGAAGAGCCCTGAAACTCCGGTGCGTCTGAATGTTCAAGTCTTTCTTGCTACCCTCCTCTCCTCCCCTGGGGATGTTTGACCAAAGGTCACCTGATACAGACCTAGGGGGCGTTGCTGTGTATCAGCGAGGGAGGCGCTTTGCTCGGCGCTTCAGCGCTCCTACAACAGACTGACATGCAGCGAGTGTATGCACAAAGGTGCAAGGGATGCCACTGGTAAGGGCTCGTATGCAAGATCTTCCGTGTACAATAGCTTTATGTACTCAGGGAAGGCTGCGGGTCTCCTGTCTTGTCTGGCACGAGCTCTTTGCGGTAAGGAGCTTTGCAGGCGGCCGCTTGGCGTTCACCCCAGAGCTCCCCTCCCCAGAAGCCCCCCCCCCTCCCCGACCCATTTTAGGGTTTGGGGTTTGGGGTTTGTTAGGCCCCGCCCCCCTCCCCCCCCCCAACCCCTCCCCCAAAAATGCCAGTCGCGTGGTCTCTGTGCTCCCCAGAGCCCTTCCTTCCCGCCCTAAAGCCTCGAAAAGCCCCCTCTAGGTGCAGTTCTTCACCGAGGACCGGGTCTTTGGGGTTTTTTTGACATTTGTAGGGTTGCTTAGGGGTACTGAGGGTTAAGGGTTTTAGGTGTTTTTGGTTCATGCGTGCCACGCATGTTTCGGGAGTCTGATGCGGTGTATGGCCACAAGCAAAAGTCGATAGAGCGGAGCTTATGATACACTGGGTGGGCAACTGTTCTGCATCAAAGAGTCCTGCGGCAGACAGGTCTTTTGGGCAAATCACTGCTGGAGCAGTACTAGTGCTCGGCGAGCGTGAAACTTGGGAGGTTTTTCTTACTGGCAAGGCTGGGCGAAGCACACCAGAACTAATTTTGATGTGGGGTTTCCGAAAGTAGGGGTATTCGTTTTGGGGGTTCCTTTAAGGGGATTCTATTCTATTTGGGGTATACAGGGGTTACCCTATGTTCGTAAACCCCCATTTGGCAAACGCTAAGGTGACGAGGATCCATAAACTGCAGGCGCTGACAGTTGTGAGGAAGTCGGTCCCTACGTATGTTGAGCGTTTACGAAGATGGGGGACCCCCAATATGGATCCCATAGTAGGAATCGCTAAACATAAGGACCCCAATAAGGTAAAATCATTGGGAAACCCCCATATACGTCTTCTTGTGGTCATGGTTTCTCTAATGCAGTCCTTGCCTCGATCCCGAACAAAATCTCCAAAGCGCTAAGCTGTCAACCCTTATAAGCCCCAGCGCCAAGCTCAGAGCCCGCAAAGCTTCCCACAACTTCTCTCACGCGAGGACGGCGTCTCTCTCACAGGCTGCTCGGTATGACGTTGGCATCTGTTTTGCTTGCCCTTTGTGGGTTTAGGATTTCAAAACCTAAACCCTAAACCCTAAACCCTAAACCCTAAACCCTAAACCCTAAACCCTAAACCCTAAACCCTAAACCCTAAACCCTAAACCCTAAACATCCCCAAACCCTGAACCCTAAACCCTAATCCCCAAAAAAGGGGGGGTGGGGCCGCAGCTCCCAGGTTGGTTCATCCCGCAGAGCAGCGCCGGGCGGCCCAGCCGCCGGATCCTGGTCTTCTGCCACCCCTACAACAACAGCCCCTCGGCGGATTGGGGGTTTAGGGGTTTAGGGTTTAGGGTTTGGGGTTCATAGGGTTTACGGTTCAGGGTTTAGGGGTTTAGGGTTTAGGGTTTGGGTATTATTGGCGGGGGTTAGGAGGCGTAGGCAGGGATTTGTGGCTTTCCGGTCTGTAGGGGATAGGGAGGAGGTTTAGGACGGGAGTCCATATTGGGGCTTAGGATTTAGGGTACTGCAACCCTTCATCTCCGAATCCCAACAGCCCTATTTTGTTGAAATTCCTTTAAAAAAGTACTCGAAGGCCTCCCAGGGCTCTTGGCCCACTGAAGCCGGGAAGCCAAAGTCCAAGCCGGAACCCTTGGCCCTTGACATCGTCCCAAGGTGTAGTTGAGCCCGAGTGGATCCCACACCCTCAGCCGCAGAGCGCCTCTCAAAGCCCCGCAAAGTAAACCATCCCCCTAGAAACCCTAAACCAAACTCCTAAGCTCCCCCTTTAAACAGGGTTTTCTCAACGATCCCCCTATAAGCCCTTAACCAAACCCCTCAAACTCCCTAATTGAAAAGGGGTTTAGGGGAAATCGCGGGCTTGAGACGCGCCAAACCCGAAACCCTAAACCCCATACCCTAAGCCCGATAAACCCCATAGCCCTAAGCCCTATAAACCCCTAAAGCCCTAAGCCCTATAAACCCCTATAACCCTAAGCCCTATAAACCCCTAAAACCCTAAGCCCTCTCAGAAGGGGGGGTGGCCTTGAGACCCTAAACCCTAAACCCTAAACCCTAAACCCTAAACCCTAAACCCTAAACCCTAAACCCTAAACCCTAAACCCTAAACACTAAAACCCTAAACCCTAAACCCTAAACCCTAAACCCTAAACCCTAAACCCTAAACCCTAAACCCTAAACCCTAAACCCTAAAACCCTAAACCCTAAACCCTAAACCCTAAACCCTAAACCCTAAACCCTAAACCCTAAACCCTAAACCCTAAACCCTAAACCCTAAACCCTAAACCCTAAACCCTAAACCCTAAACCTAAACCCTAAACAACCTTCAGCGTGCAGCGAAGGCAAGTCCAACCTCCTTGGCGTGGCCAGGGGCCTCTGGGATCGACGCCCCTCGGCCTCGGCGCTAGAAGGGGGCTTTAGGGGGGGGGGGGGGGGGGGGGTTAGGGTTTAGGGTTTAGGGTTTAGGGTTTAGGGTTTAGGGTTTAGGGTTTAGGGTTTAGGGTTATTTGGGGTTTAGGGTTTAGGGTTAAGGGCAGGGGCTCGGGGATCTTGAGGGGTTTGCAAGGGCTCGGGGATCTTTGGAGCATGATGGGGGCTTTCGTTGGGGCTCAGGGGTGTAGGTTTCAGCATGTAGGGCCTCAGAGCCTATGATCGTGTTTGGATCAGCGGCCTATGTTCAGATTCTTCTTTGATACCCTCAGCCCTCATCCGAAACTCCCTGCACCTTGAATCCCAAATCCCTAAACCCTAAACCCTAGAACCCTAATAAGATGGCCCAGCACGGAGCTTGGCATCGGCTTTCGGTGGCCGGATTTTATGCCCAGAAACTGTCACCATAAATGCTGTTAAAATCCAAAGGTTAACCTTTCGCCCCCGAGATCTGAGCCATGAACGCTTTGCAGCCAACCCACAAACAGTGAGGCTACTCCATTTTC